TGTTTCCCCTTTTCTTTTGTGATTCTATGGTAGTCACTGACCCCTTGGATTCCTAAGGCAGATTAAGTTTCCTCAGGTGTGGCCAGAGACCACTCTTTACTTCTAATAAATCCCTTAGAAGTATTCAGCCTCGCATGAGGGAAGGTTTTAATTTTGATATTATGAAAGGTCTTCATCATTATTATATTTTCTGTGTGTTTCCTATGTTCCACCTCAACCAGCAAACTGCCATCTCTCAACTTTCTGTTTTAGGATTTGTTATGTCTTGCATATCTCTCTGTGTGTCCTAAATAGCAACTGGGTTTGATAGGCATAGCCCCTATGTTTGCCAGTTGTTCTCAATTTATATTTGTCTATCTAATTTGCATACAATACTACAGGATTAATCCTATGGGATAATACTTTTTCAATGAAGAAAGGGGAAAGTTTTGCCAGTGGAGTTTCTTCGAGGCACAAAAAAAATCTTGTAAATTCCATATTAATTTCTTTTTCAGAATCAGAGTCTGAAAGACGTCTTTTTGGCTTTTTATTTTGATTATTCATAATTTTTGTGTATTAAGAGTCATTGATGTGCTCCCCACTCACCTTGGAGCCTGATACTGGGACATGTCAAGGGGGAAACTCAGTCGCCTTGACAGGTCAGGCCTGCACGAACCAGTGTACTCTGAGCACCCAATAAACCATTTGTTGCACTTCCCAAATAAATGTACAAGCTGGCATATTCACAACCATGTCTAAGTCTAGATCTCTTCAAAACAACTGACCCTCAGCCATTACCTTCTAATGCCTATAAATTGGATAGCGATTGCATTTTACCCCAGGGTATATTTGGGGTATTGTACTTAATTATAAAGTACTCCATAAATTTATATAGTTATAGGTGCTAGGGCTTGTCATGACTAACAGATTGATCAGATCAGACCTCTCCGACTGCCCGTCTAGTCCGAGTAAGGACCAAAGTGGTGTGTTGGGAATCAGAAGTAACTAACCGTGACTCCTGAAGCTCTCAACCACCAGGATCCTGTCCCCAAACATTACGGGTCACCATCCACCATAAACAGGTGGCCTCATTCTTACCCCTCTGCAGAAACACATTCTGAAGCGCCAGTTGATAGGGCGGATTTATATTGGGACTATTGTTTTCATCTTTGTTGTTATCACAGCATTTCAGCTTCTGTGCCCTCCAGCTTTCTTCTGCAAACCAACACTTCAACCCACCAAGGTATTTTCCTGTGACAATAGTGGATTAAAATGTTGGTTTGTGAATTTATTGATATAGTAATTACAAGTTCAATCCCTGGGCCAGATAGTACAGACTTTGATTCAGTGGGAACAAGGTGAACAATAACTGAGCAGTATCAAAAAGAACAAAAACATAACATTCCTAAAAATGGACAGCAGAACAAAGGGTTCAGCTTGAACATCTCTGAAAGTTACATGGATTGAAACACCCAAAGAAGGTTGGAGGTTACAATAACCAAAACATTGTGATAATAATAACTAAAACAAAAACAAGAGTCCAAATGTAAATAATGTTAGCATGTTGTTTATTAAATCAAAATTGTTTTCAAGGTGAATCTAGCTCAAGTGGATTCAATTCAACTGTGAACTTGCAATCAGATATCAATTCTCTTATCATAAATTTGCCGCATAGACACATGGGCAGCACATATTTTTGGTATATCCCAACCAAAGTCCAAAGACATGATCATCTTTAAGATCACCATCAATATTTCATTTACAAACTGAGCAATTCCTTTCAGAATGTATCTCATCAATTCATACATTTCTCTATGTATCTCCATGAAAACATACTTCAAGCATAATGAAAACAGTTTTATCATGAAAATTGTTATTATTAAGAGAAAGGATCAAAGTATTTTTGGATTATTTAAATTTTTTTTACTCCTTTTTAGGACATTCAAAATTTTGATTAAAAACTTGTTTTTCTTGCATCAGCAGTTGTACTAACTTTTAGAATAGCAAATTTTACCCTCTTTTTTGTGGTGACAGACACATTAATTTAGAAATTCTTGCAAAAATCAAATAATTGTCAGATTTTAATTAAAAAGACTTGGATTTTAAGACTGACATGTTTACAATGGGAAACACAGATTAAATTGTAGTTATATTTCTTATCTGCCTTAAATTTATTAAAACAAAGGAATTGTCACATTTTGCAGCTTACTGATGAAAGTGCTTGTGAGATAAGGTGACAGATGACGGATCCCAGATGTAACTGTCCCATAAGGATGCAATAAGAATTCCTCACTGCTGAAAATTTAGGATGATAATTGAATATAGCAATTTAGGCTGAACAATACCTAGCCTCTGGGAACAGGTTTGATCAAGAGACAAAGAGAGAGGTCCAGGTAGAATTTCAAGGAAGGCAGGGGAATTGCCTGCGCACTTTGAGTGGTGATGGTGTGAGACACCCACACAAGATGGAAGGAGTTGAGCAGATTGATATTTTGCCACCACCACTCTTCTGCAAAAAAAAAAACTTAGACTTTGCCCTTGTTCCAGACTACCAGATCCAACTGAAGGGTCGGCCCAAAGAAATCACAAAGTGGAAGAAATCAAACTTCAGCCTTGTACCAGTTTATCAAGCATGGCTAACCATAGTGTCATGGGGTATTAAGAGTGAAGGTGCTGAAAATCTGTATGCTGTTAATGTAGTGAGTAGAATGTTCATTGTATGAACCTTTGATATAAAGTTGTTATGTTAGATAGCTGTCTCTTACTTTGTTCTGTGTGGTGTCATCTCACCAAAGCTGCTGGATCAGTGACATTGGGTATATGACTCGGCCTTCACCTACCTTGTGATCTAAAACAAACACAATGTGGGACAGGGTGGGATTGAGTTGACCAACTCCAAGGCTGGCCATAGGGATCGACCACAGACTTGCCCGGTGACTGTGAGTGGTGTGTGCCATCATATGTATACTGAATTAGTGGAAGTACCTACATTTCTCTCATACCAAAAAAAACAGAGATCACAACAATGGAAATTTTTTTTTTTCATTAACATTGCACAATAAAACAGCTGTTAGGTTAACTGGATAGCCAATTAGGAGCCATGTGCTTGTATTGGTTAAGTGCATTCACATCAGTACAGAAATGGACATTAGCTTCTTGCTTGACCTTCATGGGAGAGCAAGAGCAGAAAATGGACATTTTGGTAATTGTTGTAATTTAAATCCCAAAAATTCCCAAAAGGTAGGTCTCTTAACAAATCTTTCAACCTTAATTTAACATGCCCATCTCCTTTTTCTTAGATTTACTTATGTTCTCTTAGTGCATGAAAGAGTCAGAAACATGTCAAGGTTTACAAGTTAATCACCTCATGAGTGAACTGGAATCAGATTCTCAACAAAACATCTGGTTTTACAGCCAACTAAAGCTAACTACATATATTTTTTCTTATTTGTTTTTCTTTAAGAAGCCATAAATATGAATCAACCAATCACATCTATTATTATTTTATGGGTGTAACATATACTGTGCTGTGTGTTACTCTAAACTCAGACAATGCTTGAAGAGAAAATGAAAGGGAATGCCTTTCTGTGATACAGTATAGACTTACACTCAAAATAATATTTGTCAGCTGTTTTTAATTTGGGGTTGATTTTCTTCCACTGATTATGCAGAGTAGAATTTTCCCCTACCCTAACCATTGAGAAAGATGCAGAGTAAGAGCAATACAAACAGATACCAAGAACAATTTAAAATGTGACAAGAGAGCATTGTAATCATTATCATACAACATATATTAATAATTACAGCATGCTCTTACAAAACGTATCACTAAAAGACAGTTTAAAAAATACTTTGTGGTAAGAAATGGTTCCTTCAATCATTTATATAATGTAAAATCATAATGTGCTTAGATAATTCTAATTAAAGATTCAGCACACACTATTTTATCTAAAACACACAATCTTTGTTGCCTAGTGATACAGAGGTGTACATGGTGGGTCAGGATGCAATCAGGTAATCAATAACAGGAAGTAAACATTTATTATAATAAAAGAAAGACAATAGTGACTTGTCAACATTTAAAAAAAACAATCCTTTTTAGTCGTCTGACACAATAAGTGATTCACATATGGAAATAAAAAGAAATAACAGAAATACTTAAATTATAATTTCCATCCAAAATGATGACAAGGTTTCAATACATTTTGAAAAATACAATTAATTGTTGTATAAAAATGTTTTGTATTGCATAATATTATTGACTTCTTATTATTTCTATTCCACTTTGTATTTTGTTATTTTTTCAGTTAAGTTCAACAGTAAAATATAACAAAAACTGATTGATTTATTTTCTACAGCTTAACCCTTTGCAGGTTATTCAAAGTCAGAAAATATTTTTAGATTGTAAGAATTTCAGGGAGGGGGAGGAGATAATAATTTACGGATACAAGTTTTACTAATTACCCCATAGCTGGGGAAGAAAGTTGATTCATACTTTTCCTAATAGTATTTCTGCACAAGTGAATATAACAAACCCAACTGGAATTGGAACTCAGCTCTCTGATTAACAATTCAGAGCCATTATCCACTACACCACCCACACATCCAAACTTACAGCATCTGACATTCCACAATAATACAAAAGAAACTGAGCATCCACAAGCCAGTTAATTGCTTGGAATTTTCTTTTTATTAATTTTTTTTTTAATCTCATTATCAATGCTCCATTATATAGAAATCTAAATATTGCATTACAACTTAATTTTTTCCACAGACATCAGGACATGGAGAGCACATTAATTCCAGTCAATATCAGGAGATTAATCCATAGCCAATAAATGGATAAAACCCTTTAGCCACTTCAGCCACACTGTCTTCTATTCCTCTAGCCAAATCTATATTTTCAACAAGTTACATTGAAAAACTGACAGTATTAAATAATGAAAAAATTAAGATGTATTTTCTGAATAACAGGTTAGAGAAAAAATACCTTGTATATAAAAAAAATTGTATTTACTTACTTCCTGATGGACCATAAAATTTAACAATGAATTCATTTAATCCTCCCAAGATGGTAACTTCATGCTTGCTCTCAATGCTGGCAACAAAATTAAGGATCAATAACAAAAGATAATAATAATAATAATAATAATAATACAAATTCATTCTTTCAATAAATATCATTAGAGAGAGAGTGCACAAAATCAAGTTGTAAGAATTATATACATTCAATTTTCTTGAATATAGCAATTTATGTCAATCAGATGATACAAAATTGAAAAAAAAAAAAAAAAAAATTTTATACTTTTTTCCGGTAGATTCTCAGCCTTCATCTGATACATAAATTCATTTTCTTCAAGTTATACACACAATATATTTGCATCCTTCATTTCCTGTAGTCTAGTAATTTATCAAATTTTATGTTCCTGTATAAAATATATATAATGTGATCGACTTTATTATTTCCAAGTGACTACTTTACTTATCCATTTCAAACAACACATGAAAGATGAGGAGTGTAGTGGAGTCAGGTATTCATTAAGGAGCTAGTTTGGTTGACTATTACTACTGAGTAGTAGTGAGTTTGATCAATAAATCTGACAGCTGAAATTTTCACTATATGTTTTATCTACCTTATTAATATTCACTACTGAATTAAGTGCATTGACAAGATTACGTAGAAAACTAAATCCCTATCCCCATCATTTGGTTACAGAGTATTTGATGTACCAACATCTAAGATGCTAGTGTTACAATGTACCCATCTATTAAGTATGGTAGATAAGCAGACGATATACTTATTAAAGTATTGTTCCTTAGCATATATATTAATGCCAGATTAATGTGACCAATATTTCCCATTCAAAGTTATTAGGTCTTTCCTATAATAGTTGTTATATTTAGTGTATGAAGCAAATATAAATATTACAGGGACAGAAGCTGTCAATTCATTTTTACAATATTTGAAAAATGATGCCAAAACAAATTAAGTGAGATTGTATGCAAGGGAAAGTACAATGCTTTTTATCTCAATTTCTTGCTTATTAAATATAAAGGTTCACAATGAATATACTTGTTATGGGACCTTACCCATAATAACATAATGGACTATTCCATATGTAATAAATACTGCGCCTCAAGAGGAAGCAGGGAGTTCAGTCTGAAGTGAAGTCCGTCAGGAGTCTGTCAGTCAATCAGAGCGAGCAAGTCAGTCAGTCGAGTCAGAGGCAGACCAAAACAGAGTCGTGTTCAGACAATTACTACTAAACCTGATTGTTCGTACTAACATTTTTCTACTTCTCTGTATATATTCCTGTTTGTAATATATCTGTGTTATTCCATATCCGTGTTAGAGTTCTTTATTGGTTCTACCTTGGACTATCACCGTGGTACAAGGAACCGGACCATAACAATACTTAAAGGTGAAAAATCTTCTACATTGTCATGGTTGATCAAAAAGTTAATTATTTATTAAGTTATTTTTTTTTTATTAACTTTTATGAACAACATGTTTACCCTTTTGTTCCACTCTTTTCTGCCATCTTTCCGGCAAATTTATAAGTCAACACATCCTGGAGTTTATGTTTCACAGCAAAGAAATGCTTCCAGTGCCTTTTGCAGTCTTCCAAGGAATTGAGAATAACTCTTCATTCAGAGGATTCTTTAAAAACTGGAATAAATAGTAATTCAAATGCATAATATCTGCTGAATTCAGTGGATATATGAAGATTACACAACTAAATTATAACAATTTTTGTGTGTGGTCAAGCATTATTCTGATATATTACCTTTTCCCTAATTCCAAATGCTTTTCATCAATTGCTACCTGCCTTCAATTTATCTAATTGGGAGTAGTACTTCTCTCAAAGGAAACCCCTACCCATTCCTACCATTTACAGAGACAGCATCCCCTTAGAATGAAATGAGGCTTTCATACAGTTAACAGGGGTTCATTTTGCTTGTACACCCTTAATTTCTTGTATTCCATATTGTTGTAAAGTATACACTTTTCATCGGCCATCACAATTCATTGAGGAAAAAACATTTTCTTTAAATGCACGCTGATTTGATTATTTTTTGGTTTCACAGCTTTTCAATTTTACTTACTAAATTATATGGCAAACATATAGAATTAGAACAACATTTTTAAACACTTAAACTGTTTAAATTCAATTAAAAGTAATCTAAACCCCTTTTAATAGAACAATAAAGATCTTAAGTTACACAAATCTAATACAGGTTGAATGTTCTTTATCTGAAATTGCCAAATCTGAAAGTTTTTCTGGTGCTGACAAATGGAAAATTTCAGAAGGTCTAGCTACATAGCCTCTGTTAGTGCCAGTTTTTTTTGTTAGCGATTGTCACAGTAACACCTTTGTTCATGGATTACTTACCAGGTGTTTCGTGCTCAGTAAAGATATTATTCAAAATATCAAAAGTTCTGCATTTATATATTTTTTGTAAATAGTGACCATGTTTTTTGTACACATACAGAAAGTACAAAACATTATTTTTAATCGAAATTTTAATTTCACCACTTAAAAACTCTGTGTGAGCATTTACATGACTAGCGTCATAACCAGTATTTATGTATACAAAATTTATTAAATTTTATACAAAACTACTTTCAGGGTATATGTTACTTGTATAAAACTACCTTCAGAGTATGTTAATTATATAAATCTTGCTACAGGGTGATATGTATAAGCTGGGTTATGAAATGTAAAGGGATATCATATTTATGCTTGGGTTTCATACCCAAGTTCCTCCATTTTATAAATGCTATATACATGTTAAATAACCTGTATTCCAAAATCAAAAAACTTTGAAAACTGAAGCACTTTCAGTCCCAAGAATTTTGGATAAAGTATTCATAAATTTTATGTCCATGTTAAAAAAAAAAAAAAAAAAAAAAAAAAAATCAAATTAAAATTTTATATCTAAATAATAATTTAAATATCTTACAATTTTGATAAGATGGTATAATAAAGTTAAAATATGAGAATATTATTACTCAAGATATCTTCAAGTTCTAAAAGTTTTGAGTCTTAATTCCTCAGTGAATGCAATTATTAAAATTTCCCTGTAATAAAACTTGCATAAATATTGTTCAATGAATGCAGTTTATTAATCAATGCTATAGAATTAACAATTAAGTGAATCCCTAAAGCATTTTTAGATATTTTGGGGTAATTCACTAGAGAAATGAAAGTTTTTGTTTGCAAAAGAATTAATTATACTATGAGGGGGTGCTGAAAGTTATTAGCCTGACCCACTTTTCATAAATTACAATTCTGATGTTTAATTATGGGAAGTGGGTTATACCATGAAATTCTCAAAAACTTCCCTTATAATTGACAAGAAATTTGAAACTTAAAAAAAAAGTACACTATCTAAAAATTATAAAAACACTGCAAATTTTTAAATTTCTTTGTGGAATTTGTTTAGTTCAGATTTTTATGAAATATTTTAAAATTATTTTTAAATATTTTCCGCATAGTTACATTATATTTTTTCATTTTAGATTTTTGTAATAAAATCATGACAAAAATTGATACCCAGATATTATAAACCAAAAATTCCAGTTTTTATTAACAAAACTATTTACCAAAATTTAATTCTTTATCACTGCACTGTTTTTGCCTTCAAAGCCTGATTAGCATGACCTAGCAGTGAGTTTCCCAATTCATAAAAAGGTATATTTGGGGATTTCTGCCATGCATCCATAATAGCAGGTTTAAGGTCTATCTTTTTGAACTTGAGTGCCATCAAAATTCTATTAACTATAACTAAACAACTAGTAAGGCTACCCAATACCATAGTTTTTCCATCACCAAAGCAACAAGCAAAACTTTTTTAGTGTTTCTCATTAAAAATTATTTAAAAAAAAAAAAAAAAAAAAAGAGCTGTAGTAGTCAATAGAAAATGTTTTTCATCTGTTGCAATCATATTCTGCAAAAAACAGGGTTCTCTTTGAGGATCATCTTTGCCCACTGGTATCTGTTTTCTTTTTGGATTTTGCATAAAAGAAAGACTTAGTGGCAAAGATGTTGTGAATAAATGATTTTGTTGCTTACAGTATTTGGTTTATTGTTTATGAGATTTTCTATAGAATATTTTACAATTCATCATTTAATCCATTAAGAAACATTCAGTTTCATGCTAGTTTGTTTGTGCTGTGTCAAAGATTCAGGATTCTTCAAAGAGTTTGAATCACAGTGATAGAGATTTTCTCAAATTTTGTAGACCTTACAGCATCCACAGTGATTTCAGAGTACACCATTATCCAGTTTTACTCCAAGTAAGAATGCTTTTTATTATATTACATGCAAGAGACCTTTTGACATTTTTACACAATATTTTGTGAAGTTCTTCAAACTTAGAATTATAGAAAAATAAAATTCAAAATTTTTTGATTTTTATATTTGCTGGACAGCAAGAAATGAACTTTAATTACACAACTGAACTCATTTGATTATTGATGAGAAAAAACATCACTTTAGAAGCAGATCTAGTTCACTTATAAATAGACTATATGCTTCTGGGCACATTGCCAAAATTACTTGATTTCTTCATGAATTAATGGCTATGTTCTTATAATTTTTGGGGAGTGTGTATAATATTGCATGCTTTAGCAATTTTTCAATCTTATTTTCTAAAATTATCCATTAAACATTTCTTGAAATGTCTGAAAATTAATTTGTAATCACAAAAATTAGTTTTGTAATTAAATGTAAAATATTTTTTCTCAAATAGATATGCTAAAACTAATGTACATTATTTTTTTGTTAATTAGTTTATTAATTTTTTTTTTTTTTTTTTTAAGCGTTTCACCCCAAGCAAGGCGGGAAGCCACTAGGACGCAAGGGGTTACAGAAAATAGCAAGATCAGATAGGAGAATGAGGGTAGTGGATAGATTAAGGCAACTGGAGATGTTGATTGACATTACACTTGAATAGCTGGAGATTATAGCTCACAGGGAAACAGGAGAAGGGAAGGGAGTTCCACAGGCGAGAGGTGCGAGACATGAAGCTATTAGAATAGAAGAGACGGCTACATTTAGGAGTTTCGACAGTGAAGGGGTGAGAGCGGGATGC